GTAAACCGATTGCAATTTACCTGTACGGATATCTTTCAATTTAAAACTCAATCGGGATATATCTTTAACTTTTTAGTAACTTCATTATATGTACAATATATCGCCTGTGTAACATGAGAAATCATCGGTGTAAATCATGGAATAAAGTGACTTGAAATCTAAAATATTTTGACCTCATTTTCCAACATGGCGGTTCAAACAATTTCAAAGTTTACGAAACTGGTTTAGAGTTATTTCTTTGTAAATCGCTCATCAGAAGAACTTTGAAATGTGCGTTATGATAATCGTTATACTTACCCCCATCAAAGTAGAGAAATAATACTAAAATAGCACCAAATACTGTGTAATACAGCTTCATATTGGCGCTCGAATTGAGGTCATCGGCTAGTTTTCAAATACGGGTACTTTCACCTGAAGAGGCCTCCGAAGCTCATCATATAATGCGTCATATGCGCATTTCTCATTTTACTCAATCAAATGATTAAAAGAGGTCACTACTATTGTCGAAGTACAAGGAATATGCAATAAAATGTTTTAGTTATATTCAAGCCTTAGCTATCCTGAAAATGTTGACCATTATTGGGCATTATTATAAACATTACTTAAGGATTTAAGCCCTGATCTCAGTGCATAGTATGCTGAAATTTTCCATTGATGGTGTTGTTTCCAAATGTTTGCATGACTGCTCATTGGGAATGCAACGTTTAGGAAATAACACCTGAGTGGAATTAAGCAGTCACAATGCATAAAGTTTTGAGCTTCAATTGTTTTCACACATTGCAAAATATTTTCTACAAAATTACCTAAAAGACACAAAATCACTAAGAGAACATATTTTCAATGAAACTTTTTAATTCACAAATCAACACATTCAAGATCACTTGTTAAATAGTTATCAAGGTGACAATTTGACTATCCAGATTGAAGTTGATACTTTGTGAATTATTTTTATTTTGAAAAGGAATTAAAAAATTCTCCCTTTTATTAATGCATAGTTTTGAATATACCTCAATGCTCAAGAGCAACCAAGGAAGTTCAAAGAGAACTTTTAATACTGGTGATGCATGTATGTTTTATTTACTTTTCTGTGTTCCACTTCATTTTACATGGATTTGGAATTTTTTGACTTGAGCAAGGACCATGATTGGCAAGGGAAATATTTTTATAAAAGATCAAATAATATAATTTGGACGGTTCTAAAACATTTTTTACTTAACATTGTTTTGTTTTGGCCATTTTCATAAAATTAAGAAAAACTTTTCTTAAAAGTACGTACCAATTTCAGACATGGGAAACCTATAGAGCGCGGCCTTTCAGAAACTTTTTCAGCAGAGCTCATAACTGGCATATGCTTATATTATGTTATATATATGCTTACACCATTGCCTAATTAAATAAATAGAGCTTATGAACAGGGTATATGTCCATCTGTTATACTGTTATGGAGTTAGTGCCAGGGTGAGGAAGGTGTTTATTAATAAGTAAACATCTAGTAGGCTTAGAGATCAATGATCATTGATTTTACCATTTACTATTGAGTGTGGTAGTAATCACTATGTACTATTCTGAACCATTATCTTTCTTCATTCATGCATTACTACCATGTCAGACCAGGTACATAAGATGAAGCTCTCTTTTAAGGAAGTAACATCAAGCTATTGGAAAGGGAGCACATTTCAACCATTCCACTCAATCCTCCATCATTCGAAAGCTTTTACTGACCAAACAAATTTAACAGAATATATGGAGGGACACTTAGAATAGATTGTTCTTGTAGGATGCACACATCTTCCCATTTGGCAGCTTATCCAATGATAAACAAAATAGATCATTGTTCACTAATAAATATGCTGGGTATTCATGCTTTGGACAAATCATTGGAAAGCTTTTACTGACCAAACAAATTGAACAGAATATATGGAGGGACACTTAGAATACACTGTTCTTGTAGGATGCACACATCTTCCCATTTGGCAGCTTATCCAATGATAAACAAAATAGATCATTGTTCACTAATAAATATGCTGGGTATTCATGCTTTGGACAAATCATTGGAAAGCTTTTACTGACCAAACAAATTGAACAGAATATATGGAGGGACACTTAGAATACACTGTTCTTGTAGGATGCACACATCTTCCCATTTGGCTGGTTATCCAATGAAATACAACACAGATCATTGTTCACAAATAAATATGCTGGGTATTCATGCTTTGGACAAATGAAGTATAGAATCGTGAAAGGGAGACCAATTGTCCACCCAACCAACTGTTATTTTATTGTTAGATACTGTAGAATCTAGAGTAGGAATGAATAGCCTTTATGCATAATCTTTTTAAAGCAATGATACTTTCGTGAAGGAATCATCGTTTATCAGTTTATTGGTGTTGAAAATTGCAGGCTATAAAATTTAGAAAAATGTTAGGGAAATTAGACACAAGGCCTTTTTATTAACCATTGTAAACAATGCATTAATGTGACAAAATGTCACCACCTAGCTGCTCACAAAATTATTAGTTCAATTTTAAGTCAGATTTGAATTTCTGATAACTTGTAGATGATTTTGAAAAAAATTGGACAATTTGAAACAAGATGAAAAAATACCTTTTTGAAGTTTTTTTTACCATGAGAAGGTCATCGAAGGTCAACTCTCAAATCTAAAGTCAGATTTGAGCTTCTGATAAATTGTAGATGATTTTGAAAAAAAATTGGTCAATTTGAAGCAAGTTTACCCTTTTTTAACTTGAAAAGGTCATTGAAGGTCAAATTTTAAATATAAACACGTGGTACTAACTTCGACCATTAATTTAAATTTTTGACCTACCGGATGTTTGAAAATCAAGGATTACGAATCTCATACTGCACTGTTTGTCTTCAAACTTGTTCCATTCAAAACATAACAAAAATTCCTTTCTGTTGGTACATTATTCTCTTAAACAGAGTCCCTACTTCCAGCGGCATTTTGGTCCCCAGCTGTAGGAAGGCCTAACAGCTAGGGACCAAAACGCTGCTAGAATACACCGACAGAAAGGCAATTTTGTTTTGCTTTTAATGGTATAAGTTTGAAGAAAAACGGTGCAGTATGAGACTCGCAATCTTTGATTTTCGAGCATCTGGTAGGTCAAAAATTCAAATTAACGGTCGAAGTTTGTACCGTGTGATAGAGTCAGATTTGAAAACATGTAGATGATTTTGAAAAAAATTGAAGTCAGTCTATATAGTATTTGTTAACTTATTGTAAGAATTTGTTACAGATGCCGATCGCCAACCGCCCACCACCATCCGCCGTCAAAAAACAGAGACCATAACAATATGTCACCACTTTTTGGTGGTGACATAAAAATGCTCATACATTTTGGGGTTATTCAGGCTCAAAATTACAGACTGGGATGCATTGTCTGGCACATTGGCACAAGTGTATAAACAGTTAAAGGGGCAACAAAGATTAGACAACAATTTACAATCTCTAGTCTTTTGCCTTTCCTACCACTTTAACAACCTTCGATAATTTATAAAAGAATTCTACAATCAAACTGAACATTTTATGTCACTTTAATCAAGCTTTATTTTTCATTTCCTAATAACACAAAGAATCATAAATGTTTTGTTAGTAAGGTTTCACAATTTTGAATTTTTGACTGCTCTGGCATCTAACTAAAGTCCCCATGAAAGGTGGATCCATCTATAAAACTACAAAATCAACACTGTGCATTTCACTTCACTATGATGTCTTCTATTGTTAAAACTTAAGCTTGTGTCCCACATTGAAATTGAGCGTTGAATAAGTTGACTTCTTTAGTACTTATATTAAGGACACAATGTCATGTTTGAACAATGGAAGTTATCTGGTATTGAACAATAGATGGAGCAATACAATACTGCATTATCTCATATACATATACTTCTTTCTAAATACATACATCAATGGATATAGGTAAACTCTACTAAATGTACATTTGAATTCTGGTAAATATTACATCTTAATCTATTTCTATCTGCTAACTGGTTAAAGAGCAGAGTTAACTAAAATATGAATTCATCAGTGATGTTCTCAAGATAAAATGAAACATACATATTAGATTCATGAAATAGTTCAACAGAAATACATATAAAAATGACATTATATTATACCAAATCATATGTTGATGTGACCATTATGCAATGTAATAGTTGCCTACTTCATATCATCTATAATGACAAATTGACCAGTATAACGTCATACGCCAAGATAAGATAGCATTTAATATGAGGAATAGTACAAAACCATGTGAATTTAATTTAGCTTAAAATTATAATTTATAGCTATAAATAGCACAACTTGTAAGTTACATCCAGATAAAACAGTTGATATATTTAAAGTTTATATTTATAGTTACAAATGACACTTCTCTCTTAACATTCCCAATTTAGAAAGTTAATGTAAAGTATATGGGTACAAAGGGCATTTCAAGAAGATATCAAACCACTACACTTATGTTATAAACAGGTTCATAATAGTTGGTATAGGTAGCCAAGGTACTTTATAGTATTTGACTTCAAACAGTGTATTTCTATGTGAATTAAATCGATGCATTTTTAATCTGAAATTGTACATGCATATAATATATATAATGTTATTAGTTAGCCTATCATGATTTTTAGATTTATAATTTATTTTAGCTTACTAATGATATGTGCTTGATCAAATATTCTAACTATGTACACCTTAATATATGATCGAAGTGTTAATAAACAAATAAAATATTGGACAAAATCATATCCAACAACATGTGTTTATTAACCCTTTGCTTCCCACACTGTTCACACACAGATCTGTATTAACATACAAATACAATACTTCATCATGGTGCACATCTTGTACAAACTATACAGACAGAAAGAAATTTACTAAAATAATGACATTCTATACTCGGCTCCTTGAAGCCATACAATGTATCAAGAAAGCAGGTACTGGACCCGTTTGAAAACAATTTGCATAAGAAATGGATAATCTCAAAGTCTATATTATCCTTAGGTTTCTCTGGTTGAGATAATACACACATAAACTCTAAAATCCAAGTAAACCCTTTCATGACTACAAATGCAGGTGGTAGACATATAGCCATGAAAGGGTTAATCATCAAGTCAGTCACAACATATTGCTCAGAAAATACTCTAAATTCAGCCTATATTATTGAGAGAAGAGGTACATGATGGCAGACATTAGGCCTAGGGTAGCTACACTGATTGAGAGAGATGATGCAGAGTTGCAGCCGTCTCCGGAACACTGACAGTACTGGATCTTAATCTTGTGGGTGCCAGTACGTAGGACACACTTCTCTGGGCCTCCCTTAGCACACTGTCTGATGGTACGGGTATCCCCTTTTACTGGAAATATAAATTGTTAAGTGGTGTTGTATTAAGTAGAGTATTAGAAAATAAACACTGATGGATCATACATGAAAAAATGTTTAACAAATTAAGATACCATCTTCACTAAAAATCATCTTATCTAGAACCACTCTTCTCATAAAGCAATCATAACGACCAAAAATGATGACATCATTTATCTCACATAAAAACATAGAAAACCTACTGTCTTGGTCCATTTTTCTGCAGAGGCTGTATCCCTCTCCGTAAGTTTCTGTGCAGTTGACAAGGAAACTGTTGGGAATACCGAATGGATCTTCACATGCATTGCCATCGAACTTCCTGTCTGGACCACTGTTGCACTCATAGCATGAGATGCTCTCGCCTGCAAGTATACAATATACATGGTTATAAAAAATGATCCAAAATTAGGTACAGTACATTGTTTTAGATGTTTACAATGCAGTACAAGGTTCATATATCATATGTGAGACTATATAAAATGAATATACATCTGTCCTTGAGTTATTGTGGCCCACATTGCTTATGCAATGATGAGAGAAAGGAAGCTTTTTTGGATGTCTGGGGAACTTAACCTAACATAGAGTCAAATGCATATTAAAAAATGTGCAAGTCTTCATATGTGAATATTTGTAATTGGACTGACATACCATATACCGGTATATAGAACATAATGATAGTTTACCCTTGACAACCACAAAACACATATAAAGTTGTCCTTAGCACATATCAACTTTAACTGAGAGCTTTTTTTAACTTTAAGTGAACCAATAAAAAACTCAAAATTAACACAGCTTGAGCTTGCAGTAAATCAGGGTCAGGACTCATAAATGGCTGCATAAACACCTAATACGAATTAAGAAATTGACAATTTGTGTGGCATTCACACAAAAACAGATATCAAAATATAGTAGACATTTTCATGTATTAATCTTTGATTGAAAGCTGTACAGTAAGTAAATATCAAACAGAAGTAAGCAAGAGGTCGAATGGTTTACTTATAGACACATTATCTTGATTGAATAGTAATATAGGGTAATATCAGGTAAAAAGTGAACTTTGAACATCAAACACACGCACATGAATGTATTAATAGAATAAATTATAGGACCATTTGCGTACAAACTTATACATCTTAAACTCCCAAATATATTCCAAATCAAAAGCAGCAATTTTTGGTAAGTTGAATAAGCTCATCAAAATCATGCAGTTTTTCATCATTGTGAGCACTTTTTGTGTGATTTTTGGCCAGAGTTGTCAAATGTGAACCCCCTGGGATTTTCTGAAAAGTGAACCCCCTTGGCAAAAGCTGGCTATAGGCCTTAAATTGTTGATGGGTGAACAAATGGGTGATTCCATATAGGCCATATAGCATTATCATGCAAGCCAATTATTATTCTATTTCCATAAGAAAGTGCTACTCAGATATAATATACTTGCAATGGTATATAATTCGGAGTTCACTAATTACAGACTACCCTGTACAGATTCTAGTAGTCAATTTCACCCTCTGGCTAGGAGAGATGTGATTTTACAGTTTCATTACTGTTAAGATCTTAATCACCCCAAATGCAGCTGTCATGGCCTTTCATGGGGGTTTGAATTAGGTAAATAAATGCCAGCTACTTATAAAGTATTATGGTGCATAATCATAGCACATTTTCTACTAATTCTGATCTGGTAACTGAATTTCAATCAACCTTTTCTGATTGCCTACATGCAAGGATTATCTCCTGTTCAAAAAGTGTAGATAATCCCTCAAACTTTTGAAAAGGGGAGAAGATCAGCCAAATACATTAATTAACATTGGACAGAAATAAATCCTCATATTACTGCTTTCTGAAATCTGAAAGGTACTATGAAATTTAAAAGACCAAAATAATGAATACTCATCTTGCTTGTAATAGTATCTAAGACATAGGGGTGGAATGCAGTTTGTAACATAGCAATCAAGGATATATAGCCTACAGATGTTAAATCAACTTATTCAATCAAATCTGGCACATATTTAAGAAGAGTAAATCAATGATGATGCCTGATTGCTAAGAGAAAGAACAGGACTGTATCGATTTATATCTGTTTATATGACAAACCAGGATCCTATTCTGAGTATTCTCATCACAGATATGAGGGAAATGTGACTATGATGAATTTTTCAGTATAGGCTCTTGTATACAGCTTATATGGAACATATTTGGTAACAACATAAACCTAGAGACTAATTACTTCACATCTTTAATAACACATGGCTTCCGATCCTATCATGTATCAAGCCAACAGGCATAAGAAACAAGAAAATAAAGGGATTTCACATGCAATATAATACAAGATCTTGTGCCAATGAGTCAAGATGTGCTCAATCTATGCACTCTATGTCAGATGTGATAGTTTGAAATAATATGCAATGACAGCAGATGCTTGTGCTTCAACCATTACCAAACATCCTTATTCATATTGTAAACACTTGTAGCTTATGTATATATTCCATTCAAACAATTTCACTGTTGTTGTATTGCAGATTCATAACTCTAAACAATTCTGATATACATACGCCTTCGTCTAAGACATGCAGGCCCCTAACCAGCTTTTGGCCAGGGGGTACACACCAGGGATGATTAAGAAATGTCAAAACAACGAACATGAAAAAATATATTTTAAAACAGCAACTTAGCACCCTCCATACCCCCGCCCCTCCCTGGTTACAGCCAAGACATGAACTGGAGGCAAAATTAAGCCTCCAATCAATCGTTTATTATGGACACAATCTTGCTGGTGATTAGAGGCGTCACAATATCCAATTTTTGTTCTGACCCATACAATATTACCCTGCGCACAGAGTCTACTTATGAACTACCCTCTGCCTAGTATATACTATATTACAGTTTCGCAGCCCCGCTCCAAAGATTGATGCCCCGGCTGTGACAGCCCGGGTAATAAATCATTTCAAATCCATCACGCTGACCAATTCTCAACCAATCATGGAAGTTTTGACCACAAACCCTGATTGACTCAGTGAGATCAGAGATTTATTGTAAATTGAAACAGTGAAGATGAAGATCTCTTTTAAGAAGTGAAGTTGAACAAATGCAAAGGGTATACAATATGCGCCAATATGAATATATTATTCCATGTATTACAGTACAGTGGTCTTTTGATTCCATATCTCTGTGTTTTATTGACTAAATAAAACATTGAAATTGACTGTAGCATATTCTGGTCAAACATTGTATCCAATATAGCTACAATGTAGAGAATTGTAAAGGATGTGTCCGGGTATATGCCCTTTTGGTCCCTCAGTCAAATGTATGTGAAATATGTTTTTTATTACTGTCCTAGTTATATTTGATAGGTATATTTACTTTTTCACGAGTTTTGATGCATAATTAACCCCCTGCTGAGAGTCAGAATAAGTATATTAACAAAAAATAAATAGTCATTATCATGGAAAAAAACATCAATGGCAACATGTTTGACTTACAAAGAAGAAATAACTTAAGACCCATGAAGAATTTAAAAGAAAATCATATTTTTGAAATATATTTAAGGATTAAATTTTTTTTTAAATTTTTGAATTTCCCGCCAGTTTAATTTGAAGGGGGAAAAACAAGATGGCTGCCATTTGATGTAAAAAATATCAGAAAAAAAGTTGCTTCACTTTTAGTTTTCACAATGAGCACAGTTTTCCGGTTTAGGTTTTTTGACTGATTCTGACTCTTCATCACCAGGGTCATGTATAGAGATTATAAAATTGAAACCAAAATGTTGTGCTCAGCATGAATTTGACTGAAATATGTGTAACTTCACCAACACAATTGAAGTCTCAAAACTGGATGCTCAGTAACTTTGAGTGACTATAATCCCTTGATTACCCAGATAAATACCAATTCACTAATCCAGAAATACCATTCAATGTCTATACAAAGAAAGTAAGCAATGATTTGGGGGATTTATTTCAAACCTTTTGTATAAATAATTCATTTAATATTTGCCATTGATTTTTTTTTCAATTCTGACAAAACGATATGCACTGTCTTTGATGCCAATATTCTTCATTAATTGTGATACAAATTGATATTTTTGTACTCTCAGAAGAAGGATAAGATATTGAAGTTTAATAATATGTGTGATTGAGTTGGTTTTTCAGACATTACAATTTTCAATATTTTCTAAGTCGATACCCAGACTCATTCCCAGACTCATCCTTTGCTACAATGTACATGTAATGTGAGAGTGCAATTTTGTAACAAAACTGTATTCCAATTCCACAGAATCAATGATGGAAATATAAACAATGGATCCGAAAACGAATAGTGCCAAAAATTCTCTTTTGTATATATGATATTCCAATACCTGGAACTGATTTCTGGAGGTAAGAACAGGTTTGGAAATAATTGTGAAATCTTGAAATCAGCATGAGTTTTAGCCCGCTTTTTAGTCACTTTTCAACTTTAATTTCTTTAATATTTTCATTGCTATTGCACCGATTTTGTAATATCATATACCAAATTGAGCATTAACATACGCAGAATACATTTAATTTGAATACATACCTTGTTCTACGAGACAAAACAGCGCAAATAAGCAAACTCCGAGTGCTACTTTTAGAGCTTCCATTTTCAGATCGATGCTGGGACGAAAGTGGGTCAACATCCGGGTACCGGGTTACATTCTCCCAAGTTTCATCACGATTTCCTGGCGGTAAATTCGAAATTGCTGCAAACTTTGAAACTTATTTTCATAACTGGGCATCAACCAAATTGCATTTTGCCATTCTGATACTCATTCCCCTTTGTTTTTTATGAAAGAACTAAATATGCCTTTACCTTCTTCATGATTCTAGGGCGGCAATTTACAATAGTATGCATACATCAAATATATATCAAAATGCTTGAATTACAAAGTTAGATTAGCATCTTCAATCAGTTGCAATTTTCAGTTATACCTCATTGAAGTCGAAGCACACTTAATAGCTCACTGTAGTCATGTTCAGCACATTGTTATGCATCACTGATGCCATGTGAAGCACAGTGTAATATTTAATTTGTGTGTACCTAACACAATGTATACCTAATTGAAGTCATGAGTTGCACAGTGTTATGGCTCATTGAAGTCATGAGTAGCACAGTGTTATACCTCATTGAAGTCATGAGTAGCACAATATTATACCTAATTTAAGTCATGAGTTGCACAATGTATACCTAATTGAAGTCATGAGTAGCACAGTGTTTATACCTCATTGAAGTCATATATAGCACAGTGTTATACCTCATTGAAATCACGAGTAGCACAATGTATACCTAATTGAAGTCATGAGTTGCACAGTGTTATACCTCATTGAAATCATGAGTAGCACAGTGTTATACCTCATTGAAGTCATGAGTAGCACAATGTTATACCTAATTTAAGTCATGAGTTACACAATGTATACCTAATTGAAGTCATGAGTAGCACAGTGTTATACCTCATTGAAATCACGAGTAGCACAATGTATACCTCATGAGTAGAACAGTGTTATACCTAATAGAAGTCATGAGTAGCACAATGTTATATCTAATTGAAGTCATGAGTAGCACAATGTATACCTTATTGAAGTCATGAGTAGCACAGTGTTTATATGGGTAGCACAGTGTTATAACTTATTGAAGTCATGAGTAGCACAGCATTGTACCTCTTTGAAGTCAACTGGCACAATGTTATATCCCATGTGTAGTACAGTGTTATACCTCACTGACGTGTAGCACAGTGTTAAACCTCACTGAAGTAATGTGTAGCAGTGTTATACCTAATTGAAGTCAGCATCTGTAGCACAGTGTTATACCTAATTTAATGGGATAATCAGATCTAGCCAGCAAGTTTAACAAAAAATGTTTCAATTTTAGATTATTTTGGGCTCTTTTCATTCCTTGTCATGTCTTTTTCCTAAAAGATTTCCTAAGTGTATACTTTATTTGAATATTTAATTACTTCACCAGCCTATCACACATTTTGGATCTGTTGGTAGATATTGTATTTGAGATTGTGAGGAATTGATTGGTAGGTCAACTGCGCATGTTGCTTACAATTTTGCCACCTCTTATAGATCTGATTCTGCCTTTGAGTCATGTGTAGCACAGTGTTATACTGTATCTCATGTTAAATGTAATGTTATCTCATTGAAGTCATGTGCAATATTACACATTGTAGTAGTCATGAGTTGAAGAGTCCTACCTAATTGTAGTCATGTCTGGCACAATTTCATACTTCATTACAGTCATGTGTTGGTAGTATGTTATACCTCATGGTATTCATAAATAGCAAATTGTTGTAGTCATGTACAGCACTATGTTATGCTTCACTGGTAGTCATGTGTTAGTACATTGTTATACCTCATTAAAGCCAATAGATCAGAATTACACCTTCTACAGCTGCAGAAGTCATGTGTTAGCACAATATTTTACTTATCACAGTCATGTGTTAGCATGATGTCATAACATTGGTGTGTAGATAGTGTAGATATAAGAAAAGTTGTAAAATTGGTTAGAACAGTTTTTATTTTAAAAACTTAGTGGAACGGGATGGATTGTTCTTACATAGAGTCAGAAAAGGGACACATGACACAACTTTTACCTCCCTGGCCTGTAGCATTGTACACAAATGATATGTCTCCAATAATCACGATGAAAGAGATTTTTTATACTGGTATTTTATTTCATTGAACTACATAATGTAATAAATGTTTTTTTATTTTCTTATTTATTTATTTCATCCACCACATTTGGTCAATAGAGTCAGAGAATTAACATTAAAAATTCTGAAAGTAATGCGCTGTAACAGAAAATTGTACTGATATGGACTTTTTTAATTCTACGACATGAAATTGTCCTACACCCTAGTGTATCTGTTTAAATATGTCTTTGTTTCTGTTCATAAATGTATCTAGTGGTTTTCCTGCTTCTCAGTAAGGTTTGAACTTGCGAGAAGCCTTCATCATTGCTATTCTCTGTTTATCTTCCTCAAACTTTTGTCTCAATGTTGCTAAATCTGGAAAAAAGATTCATCAAATGAAAAGACGAACAACTTTCTTAAGTTTTGTAAAATCGTAAACCAATGAAAAAGACATGAAAGAATCATGTTTCTTAAATTTTTATGGGGTCTTTAAACATGAATTCAGTAAATAATAATTTTGACATTTCAGATGGATGAACAACAAATTATTTCATGATTATTGTAATTATAATATTGTACTCAGTATCGTTATTGTTATTGTTATTGAATGCTTTGTCAGAATCTATGCCTTGCTTGGCTTGGGGAGATACCCAAGTTACAAGAACGGTGCATTTAATTTATTTAGCTTGACTTTTTGTTGTTGACTTTCACTCTTCAAAATAATTTCTTTCTATTTTCACTTCTATATTTTACTCAAATTCAGATGTAAAGTCATAACTATCCCCCCATCTATCTTGAGAAATATCATTTGACATTCTCTACTTACGTTCTCTCTTTGATTCTCGCATTTGGAATGAGTAGAAATTCAACAGCTCCTGTAGTATAGACAGTTTAATATTATAATACATTGTCAAATTAATGAGGGTTACATCAAGGGAAGTTTTGACTATACATATGTATGGTTAATCCCGAGCAATCAGAAGAAATAAGTAGTATCTCGAAAAATAATGTATCTCACCCAGAATCATACTAAGTATTGAATAAATGTCTAGAGTAACCTTTCCAGGTCAAATTCAAAGTTGTTGAGATGCATGAGGAGTTAAATTAATCAAATTTAAATTAAAGTTTATTGCTAGATTTGGAATGATTTTTTTCTGTTGCTACCTTATCTTTCCTCTTTTTCCTCTCCTTATCTGTGATCCGCTTTTCTTGAACCTCAGTCCTAGGGATGCCTTTATTTTTGCCAAACTTGGTGACAGTCACCCAACCATCTTCATCAGGCACACCTTCCTGACTCTGCAGTCGCTCCTCCTCCTAGAATGCATGGATGTCACCTTTGTTTACGTTACACAGTAAGGGGCACACACAGAGACACCATTTATCAGTTGTTATTTTTCATTGGGAGGAGTAATTCATGTTTATTTGACTTCCAGATTCTTACTCCTCTTATGTTGGAAGTGTTGATTTGGTGTTTGGGTTTTGGTGACAAAATGAATATTTAGCTGGATGCTAAAAATTAATTATTGTGTCGATTTCAGGAAATCAAATAACAAACATTTTGAACTGCAAATTAAATCAGAAAATTTTTGAAAATGAAAAATCTCTGAATCTCTGATTGGCTTACTTAAAAAATAAATGTGAAGCAGCCAAACACAGAAATCATATGTATAAACCTAGTCTTGCATTTAGCCCTTTTGTATCGCTATAAGCAGGTCATGTCGAAAGAAATTTGATGCAAGATTTGTACAAACCTCCTTTTGCTTCCTGTCAAATTCCTCCATATATAAGTCTATTTCCTTCTGGAGGCCTGGTATATCCATAGTCCTGTCTTTGTATTCCTGGCACCATTCTACAAATAAAAGTATAAGATGTAATACAATATATTTTTATCTAGAAAGGCTTTGTATTTCATAGCCTATCACTCAGAGATTCATTTAAGTTTTATTTTGTAACCTTTTGTACCACACATTTTAGTTGTCTCATAACTAAAAACAAACGAGACAAAAATGGTGGCCATTTTGAAAATAGGCGAGCTTTTGAACCAAGAGTCATAGGGGAGTTTTCTGTATTGATGTTGAATAGAAATAACTTAAAACAGGAATCCTATCGACAGAGGTTTTAAAACGTGCCACTATTGTTGACGGACGGACAGATGGACGGACAGACAGACAGACAAGTGAGTGATTGCAAAAGCTCACCATGTGAGCTAAAAAACACATCACTTCACGTTGCATCATTCATGTTTGTCCATGAAATCTGAAATTCCCATAATCATGGAACTGGCTTAACTTAGAGTCTTATAGACGTGAGTTTTCTATTAATTCAGTGAAAATCTGGTAAATATATTCCAGCAACTTCCAAAACATCTAGTAATAAAGGTATTTTTGATAAATTGTTAAAGTTCAAAAATAACTTACTTTTCATTCCTGTGAGTATGGGGGCATCGGGTGTTGATAAGATTCTTGGTTTGCCATAAGGCAGTTTGATTGCCTTCTGTACTGCATTTTCTTTTCTGAACACCACATAAGCAACCTTGAATCCCTGCAAAAAATAAATTTGTAACTAATTAAACACAGATTCAAAGTCAAACCTGATATTGTAAAACATCCACAATTGAACACCTCAAGGGGCGTAACCAGGATCTAAAACTAGAGGTAAATCTAACTATGCAGGGTAAAGGATGAATCTGGGAATGAGTGTGGGTATGGACTTAGAAAATATTGAAAATTGTAATGTCTGAAAAACCAACTCAATCACACATATTATTAAACTTCAATATCTTATCCTTCTTCTGAGATTACAAAAACATCAATTTGTATCACAATTGATGAAGAATATTGGCATCAAAGACAGTGCATATCACTTTGTCAGAATTGAAAAAAATCAATGGCAAATATCAAATGAATTAATTATGCAAAAAGTTTGAAACATATCTTCCAAAACATTGGTGACTTTCTTTGTATAGACATTGAATGGTATTTCTGGATAAGTGAATTGGTGTTTATCCGGGTAATCAAGGGATTATAGTCACTCAAAGTTACTGAACATCCAGTTTTGAGACTTCAATTGTGTTGGTGATGTTACACATATTTCAGTCCAATTCATGCTGAGCACAACATTTTGGTTTCAATTTTATAATCTCTATACATGACCCTGGTGATGAAGAGTCAGAATCAGTCAGAAAACCTAAACCGGAAAACTGTGCTCATTGTGAAAACTAAAAGTGAAGCAACTTTTTTCCTGATATTTCTTACATCAAATGGCAACCATCTTGTTTTTTCCCCCTTCAAATTAAACTGGCGGGAAATTCAAAAATTTGAAAAAAAAATTAATCCTTAAATATATTTCAAAAATATGATTTTCTTTTTAATTCTTCATTGGTCTTAAGTTATTTCTTCTTTGTTTGTCATACATGTTGCAATTGGTGTTTTTTTCATTGATAATGACTATTTTTTTGTTTGTTAAGATACTTATTCTGACTCTCAGCAGGGGGTTAACTATGCATCAAAACTCATGAAAAAGTAAATATACTTATCAAATATAACTAGGACAGTAATAAAAACCATATTTCACATACATTTGACTGAGGGACCAAAAGGGCATATACCCAGACACATCCTTTGAGTAAAGGGGTACAACGATCTCATTAGACTTCAATCCCACAATTGAAAAAAATAGGCACATAAGACTATAACTGTCCACTTTTGAATGTAAAAAGAACAATATAACATTCATTCGCGATGATGTCCATTCAACAGAAAAATTAAATTTATTTTGTTATTGTTTAACGCCCATCCTCCTCCCCATAGCAGATTTACATAATCAAATGTCAATATTCTACACTCTTGAAATATCATTAACCATGTACCTTTATGAGTTCTCCAGTTCTAAAAAATGTTGATTCCTCTTTGGGCTTTGCTGTGGAAGAGGGTTTCTTCTGTAGTATGACATCTTCCACTTTGCCACAATCCTCCACTGTGAAGAGTCTCTTAAGACATTCCTGAAAGAAGAATGTATGAGAATTAAAATTTTTCAGGAGTCGGATGAAAAATAGAAAGCAATCTTCTTTTTGAGAAGAAAAATTTAAAGACTTTGAAAAACTGGCTGATTTAAAGAATGAAGTGCAATTTGAGACAATCGCTTCTTTTTTGGCTTTGAGAGAATGTTTGGGCTGGTGTTTAGAATCGATTGAGGTAAGAAATATGTATGTAGATAGCGCGGTTTCTTACTTTTTAAATCTAACGTGACCTTCTAAATTGAACGCTCCAAAGACCAGAATGGGATTGGAACTAGATAACAGTATGCATTTCACATTAAATCCAGCATATAAATCAATAATCATTATTACCTCGTTACAGTATGGTGGCACATTCAGTACAAATAGTGTGCGTTTTGTAGGTTTACTTTTGTGTGTTTCTCTCACACTGTGTTCTTTAAGAAATAACTGGTGAAATCCATCAGACTTCTCATCAAACTTCACAGGAAGAACTGGAAATTAAAATATTTTTATACAAAAAATTGGATATTTTAATTTAAGAGTTTCACTTATATGTATACATGTACATGTGTCATGTAATTGTGTTATTATGCTGATGCCCTCCTTGCAGCCATAGAAATATGCAGGCACGATCAGCACTGAATAAATTGCTTGGAGATTAAAATATTGAGCTGGAATTCTGGGAGCCAAGGCTCAGTATATAATTTTTTTTACAAAAAATGGTGGCCATTTTAAATTGAGTGGTCATATCGAAAATCCCTTTTGGAACAAAGGTTCTATCACAATTAGGTATCAGCTTATATAATGTGAAACCCAACATTTATGAGGGTAAATGTAACCTAGGGTATCGAAGGAATATCAAATGAACTCCTTATTTGTAAGGAAGACTGTAGGACTGTAATTTATTGACACAGACATAGGCATAGTGGTTAGCTCTGTGGCCTAACTTCTGTGGCGTCTACCTAATCCCAAGGTCCTGGGTTCAAATCCAGGCCTTGGCATAGTATTTGACTAACAGACTGCTATTCCAGGGATGTGATTACTGGAGCGCTACTAGAGGCCGACACAGGCTAGAACTGTCTATAGTCTTAGCTAGGATGAAGACACAACATCAAATTAATACGGGGATCTGTTTCTACCTTACAAATATGAGGTTAGGAGAACCCTCATAAATGTGGGGTTGATTGAAAAATCAACTCCACATTTATGGGGGTATGGTAAGTTAAAATATGCATGATGCATTTGTCAGAAGTAAAAACTCACATTTCACTAAATGAAGTTGGAGTAATCTCCTTCAGCTTTGTTTTTTTGTGGTTAGATTTTATTTGAAAGTGCTCAAGAGCAAATATTTCATACCCTGTAAAGTACATGTGCCATGTTTTTTTCGTTTTGTTCCATGGAATTTGTGTTTCAATGGAACTTCCACAAAAATGATGGACTGAATGCAAAACTAAAAGCTAAAAACACTTCCACGTATTGGGGGACTTGTCATGGGGCTATTTTGACCATGGGGCTATTTCGACAATGGCTTATATTTCCGATGCACGTAATTCGCCATGTTTGTTTTTTGAAGATTTTAAAAATAAATTGAAATATCTAACGGGTGAGATCTTTATCCAAGATAACTGACCCTGGAAATATAAATTATCAGCAAATGGTCAAAATAACCCGGAAATAACCCCATGGTCGAAGTATCCCCATAGCGAAGTAACCCCATAGGCGCAACAAGTGAATAAAGTACAAGAGAAAGTACATAGTGAATATACAAAAAGCACAAGAGACTAACTGCCGAGGAAAAAGCGGCTTATGCAACACAACAACAACAAGGTCGAAGTTCAATGCATCTCCCCTAGATTGTAAGTTCAGAAGAAATTCAACACCTAAAAATAGAATAAATAGCAATATCTGGATTATATAGGATTACATCCTCTCTCCAGAAATCAAACTGATAGATTTTTCAATCACTAAATACTCTATTATCGCCCACACATAGTTTTAACTAATTATTTCTCTTCTTTCTCTTGCAGATGTTGAGCAAACACAATGTCAAGTAATACATCAATCACAAGTTAATACATGCCACCAGTCAAATATGATAAATATACTTTGACAGCCTAGTAAACTATACAAACCTGTGAATCCATGCACAGAAACATTTTCACCGGAACTCATTTTGCGTTGCATTCTGGGTAAATCTGCGAGTATGGGAGCGGAAAAATCAAATTTAGCAAACAGTTTCTTCTTTAACTACTTATTGTCTGCATCTGCATCTGCTGTAGCTGAATCAGGTAATACATGAAGTTTTTAGGCATAACATTTTAGTTTATCGAATCATATACATGTAGTGTAGAGTTTATGCCCGAAATTCAGTTAGGATGAAAAATAGACTGTGGACTATTCTGTAGAAGTGCTCTAGAAATGGATCCTGCTTTTCATGGAAGGTCACACATTCCAACATATTTCAAACAATTTGTATGATTATAATAGACACTTTCTGGGTAGTTGGACTTTATGTAGGGGTGGCAGAAGGCCCTCAGGCCAATTTATACCCCTACCCCAACAAAACCTTGGGGGTACTTTAATACCACCCAATAAAAATAATACTAATGCATATCAGATATTCATCGTTTTATAGTGGGTAGGGCATGCCATGGTTAGTCAGTGCCAGAAATTTCCAATCTCTGACTTATATGGTTACCATGGAAACAGTATTTATATCTCACAATCTTCTAGTTGACCCCGTCCCAAATGTGTCCTTAAGTTCTCAAAGTGAAATATTTGCAAATCTGTTTGGATTTTGTGGTTGCAACTTTGTCAAAAGTTGAATTAATATGTATGTATTCACACTAAAGCACTAAAAACTTGATATAATGATCTCATAAATTAATAATATTTATCAAATGTAGTCACACACAACTGCTTTTAGGGAAAAGTGGGCGTGGCACTTTTTGGTACTTGTGTAATTGTTGCAGCATTAAATGAAAAATACTTATTACACTAACAACAATTGACATTAAATTAGCATCTACTAACATTGTGTAACATTGTAGTATGTTCATTATCATTATTAGATACTTTAAATATTTTATATAAGTGTTATCATGACCCTTCCCTATCATAGGTCATTAATGGTCAAATTAACTTTTAAGTCCTAGAGGTCCTTAGTCTTTTTAGCTTGTCAAAGTCGTATTCATTGACTTGAACCTAGAATATAAATAGTTTCATTGATCAAGAGCTATGAGTTAAAATTGATTAATACATTTGTCAGGGTTAGAGCCATTTTATGCAATTGAAAAGTAATGGACCGACACTGATCAGTACCAAGCGAAGGTAACGGCCGTAACCTTCACATCTAAGATGGCGGACAGTAATTGTCGATTTTGATATTTCATTGAATTAAACTACTTTAGAGTTGATGTTATGCTTTGACATTTGCACCAAATCAGGCTTAAATGACATTGGAACCATAGATGTAGTAAACATGAATAAATGATATGTGAAATGTTATACCCTGCCTTAATACATAACTAAGATTTTCTCGGATAAATGGTGTCTTACAATTGACTAACTGATTCTATTATCAACATCAGGTAATGCATGATCTATCCAATGGATTAACGAAAATACTTGATTCCAATATGGCAAAATAAATTATTCCGTGTATGAATTGCATAGTGCATCATTTTGCAGATATTACATAATGCATTCATTGACTCATGGTCAACAAGGTACGGGTAAAACTCCTTTTAGTATTTCACAAAATAATGAAATATAAACAATTTACACATTTCTGAAATGCTGTACCTTTAGTGATTCCTTCAACCTGGAAAGTGGTTTGTTATGATAAAACTTAAAATAATATCTAAACAAATCTGTTTAGTGTATAAAAACAATAAAAGTTAATATGTTCAATATCAAATATTATTAGACATATGAATATAACCTAAAATAAGAAATCTTGTTCTTGTATTCCATTTTAAAATTGGTTGAATGATTTTGGCACAGTAGAAATGATGGTCATGATTAAATATTATATGTAATATGCCCTGATGCTGTAACATCAATGGTCCTTTATAATCAGGTATGACTGAAATACTGGACAAGATCTTATAAGGTTACAGTTTCCATATAACGTATGTTCCATATTACTACCCCAAATCTCCATTGTGTAAGTTTATGAGTCATTATCCCTCATAGTTTATTATGGCAAATGCCTATCCTTGTTTAGAATATGTCATTTTATCAATTTTATAAACAAGTATACAATTACACGCCCCCCCCCCCCCCACCTCCCACACCAAAACTCCATTTTCTTTATCAAATCTTTCTACCTCTATCTGTTATGATTCTCTGTCAGGCTTCCCCAATTTTCCATACTGTCAAGTAAACATCTAAATAGGATAGTTCTAGCTATTGCTGTTGTTTTGAAATGTTGACTTTTCCTGGGGAAATATTGTTTCAATTCTGACAGAAGTTTTTAGCCAATATCATTCAATTTATCAATATCCAAACGCAGGGTTTCAGAAAGTATGCATTTTGTTTGTGCCTGTATTTTCATCATGTGTACTTATTAAGACAGCTATATTTAAGGATGCAGTACCGGGTCGGTTTTCACGTCTGTTTGCGCAGGTTTGACTTCCGGTTTGAGAAAGCTAGCTCCCAAGAATGTCATTTTCGCATTTAGTCTTATTCAAAAATTATAGTTTATTTCGATAATGGTGTTTCCAGAAAAGAATTAAATTGCAAACATTTTATCAAGCATATTTTATCCCTTTCACTTTTATGGGAAAACTTGTTCTTGAGTCGCAATTAGTGGATACGAAAACCAGGGTTCGAAAGGTGCCAGCTCTATTGAAAACTCAAAAAAGTAAAAAGATTCATTTTGGGTGGGTAAAATAATTTTTTATTTTGTAATTACCAGACGGTCAATCCTCTTCATATTGCACTTGGATGATGATAACATCATAGTGATACATTGTAAAAAATATGAGCAAAATCTAATGTCTGGAACTTTTTCTACGCTGACCTGGTACTGCATCCTTAAACATAAATACATTAAAACATGATACATATAATCTTTTGACAATTTCTTCAGTAAAGTGGCCATTTTGAGAAATGATATATAGCTTGTACCTTTGTTTGATGCTCAACAAGATGTTCGACTGGATTTGCCTTTGTCTAATTCATATATATACCAAATACGAGAATCAGAATCTTATTCTACAAAACGGGTGTTCATGGAAGTAGCACTAATTATTGCATCATTGCTATAAATCGTGTGATTTGATTGGCTAATCCAGAACCATGTGACTAAAAATACCAGCGTATTTCACAGCTCCCTGAATTATTTCCATATTTAAAAGACGTATTGTCCAGCGTATTGCCCGCCTGGGGATTCTGACAACTGCACTTTCAATGATTTTTGCAACATGTATTACCATAGCCCTACGGGCTGCGGGCAATACATATTGCAAAAATCATTGAAAGATGAACAGGTATTGCCCTCCATAGAATGAAATATTTGCTTAACATTTCTTACTGTTTCGGGCTTAATATCAATTTTGTTATAAACTGAACAAAGCGGCACCTTTAACATGCAGCTATTTCTCCCATCTAACCAAGAGAGCCTCTTTTAATATTTCGAAATTTAAAAATTGCCTCTGATTCAATTTGTTCAATCAAATCTAAAACGGCAATACCTTTTTACTGCTTCGAACTTCCTTATATTTTATACCATTGGGGTAGGATGTTTGTCTCTTTCAATTAATGCTTTCACCAGAAACATGGATATCACTTATTTTGATTCATATTTAAAATGGTGTGCATGAATAGACCTGTGTATTTTATACCAAATAGAGACACTTCCCTGGAGAGTTCTAAATCTCTATATGTTAACAGCCTAGTTCCCACATCCCTTGTTGACTTTGCTTCCATATTTCCTGTGAAGCCGTGGAACAGTTCTCTTGTTCTTCACAATTTTCCATTTTAATGTAACTCAATGAATAAGGCCAATTCATATCACTGGCTTCCCTAGGTCATTTGAATTCCTTGCAATTTTTAAATCAGCAATAAAGAATAATGGGTTAAATTATCAAATAATGAAAAAGTTGCAAATTATGAGATTTGCTATATAGCTTCGAAATCTTGCTGAAGTGTAGTTTAGCTATAGGTTAACAGGCTAAATTCTCATTGAGATAATTTTAAAGAATCTTAAACATTGACTTATTGTTTCAGTGGTCCTATTAAAGTTCATGTGTACACAATCTGAACAACATCCAGTTTCAAACACTTCTGATTATCATCAAGTTTCAAACACAATCTGAACATCATCAAATTCAATGCAAATGCAGTTTTACTTTAATCCAACAGAAAAATCAATAGACTAAGTGACACATGTCAAGTCAATGGTAAATACTTGTATCTAGCCCAACTAGCACAAGTGCTGCCATCTACCGACTAGTATCAATCCATCTATCCATATACATAGCACCTAATGAGGTCACGACTTCAAGTAAAGCTTTTTCCCTTGTCTATGGTAAAAAATAAGTTAAACAGAAAAGTTAGTTTGACACCATTGGTGATGCCCACCTTGTATGGTATAGGGATAAAAGGAAAGTTCATGATAACACTTACATAAAATAATTTAAGTATCTAATAATGATAATGAACATATTACAATGTTACACAATGTTAGTAAATGATAATTAAATGTCAATTATTGTTAGTGTAATATGTATTTTTCGCTTAATGCTGCAACAATTACACAAGTTCCAAAAAGTGCCACGCCCACTTTTCACTAAAAGTAGTTGTGTGTGACTATATTTGATAGATATTATTGATTTATTGGAGCATTATATCAACTTTTTAGTGCTTTAGTGTGAATATATACATATTTATACAACTTTTGACAAAGTTGCAGCCACAAAATCCAAACAAATTTGCAAATATTTCACTTTGAGGGCTAAGGGACATATTTTGGAGGAGGTCAAATTGAGAGGATTTTGAGATATAAATACTGTTTCCATGGTAACCATATAAGTTAGAGGTTGGACATTTCTGGCACTGACTAACCATGGTATGCTCTGCCTATTATAAAACTATGAATATATGACATGCATTAGTATTCTTTTTATCAGGTGGTATTAAAGTACCCCCAAGGTTTTCTTAGGGTGGGGGTATGAATTGGCCTGAGGGCCGTCTGCCACCCCTACATGAAGTCCAACTACCCAGAAAGTGCCTAGCATAATCATACAGACTGTTTGAAATATGTTGGAATGTGTGACCTTCCAGATGTGGGATTGCCCTTGTGAATCAGTTACGACGGGACGTTGTCTTCTAGGGGGGATGGTGTAATGACCTTCGATAACAAGTCGCTACTACAGTCTCAGCTGTAGTGGCTTGCCTTTATGGCTCAGGGGTAGAGCATCTGACTCTGAGAGCGGAAGGTCCTGGGTTCGATTCCTGCACAGGGTTTTGAATTTAGCACACTCTATTTTGAGTCTAGTATCCGGCTTGGTACAATACAGCTCCCCGACGGACGTGCCCAAGGGTCGTTACATTGGTGTCAGATGTGGGATTGCCCTTGTGAATCAGTTACGACGGGACGTTGTCTTCTAGGGGGGATGGTGTAATGACCTTCGATAACAAGTCGCTACTACAGTCTCAGCTGTAGTGGCTAGCCTTTATGGCTCTGGGGTAGAGTGTCTGACTCTTAGAGCGGAAGATCCTGGGTTCGATTCCTGCACAGGGCGTTGAATTGAGCCCACTCTCTTTCCAGTCTAGTATCCGGCTCGGTACACTACAGCTCCTCGACGGACGTGCCCAAGGGTCGTTACAATACTGATAAGCAAAATCTAAGGAGATGCCAACTCAAAAAGGCGGGCAAAGTGTAGTCTGTATCCCATACATGGATCTACCAGTGGCTTTCATACACAATATAGCGTCTTCGATATCGTCAATGACAACGGAATCTGAATTTGGGATAATTTACAAAGACAACGGCATCTGGTAAATTTTTTTCAGCACTTTTGAGCCTGCTTTGCAAGGGTTCACAAACTTTTTATCGTACCTACGTACGATATTGTCGTCAGCTTGACGGGCGGGCGGGCGGGCGGGCGGGCGGGCGGGCGGGCGGCGTCTCACTTTTCAGCTTGTCTACAGGTTTCCAGCCAAACCATTTGACTAATTCATCTGAAATTTTCAGGAATGTTTCTACGTATCAAAGTTAAGAACTGATTAGTTTTTGGGCATTCTGGGTAAATTTAAAGGTGGCCATTTTGGATTTTCCGTCCTAAAATCTTCACTTTCAAGACTTGTCTACAGGTTTCCAGCCAAACCATTTGAGGGATTCATCTGAAATTTTCAGGGATGTTTCTACGTATCAAAATTAAGAACTGATTAGTTTTTTGGCATTCTGGGTAAAATTTAAGGTGGCCATTTTGGATTTTCCGTCCTAAAATCTTCACTTTCAAGACTTGTCTACAGGTTTCCAGCCAAACCATTTGACGGATTCATCTGAAATTTTCAGGAATGTTTCTACGTATCAAAGTTAAGAACTGATTAGTTTTTGGGCATTCTGGGTAAATTTAAAGGTGGCCATTTTGGATTTTCCGTCCTAAAATCTTCACTTTCAAGACTTGTCTACAGGTTTCCAGCCAAACCATTTGAGGGATTCATCTGAAATTTTCAGGGATGTTTCTACGTATCAAAATTAAGAAGTGATTAGTTTTTTGGCATTCTGGGTAAAATTTAAGGTGGCCATTTTGGATTTTCCATCCTAAAATCTTCACTTTCAAGACTTGTCTACAGGTTTCCAGCCAAACCATTTGATGGATTCATCTGAAATTTTCAGGGATGTTTCTACGTATCAAAGTTAAGAACTGATTGGTTTTTGGGCATTCTTGGTAAATTTTAAGGTGGCCATTTTGGATTTTCCGTCCTAAATTCTTCACTGTCACACTGCTGTGTTTTAGGTACGATATTGTTCACGTCTGTGCCTTGTTTTTACATGCCTTGGGATCCCCCATAAGAATCTAAAGTCAAATTGACTTGATTGATGGCCTTGTCCGTAGTACTATATCTATTCAATAACTAAGAATGCTTATGCAGTGATCTCCCTGGGATATTTTCTCAGGTGGGTGCAAAATTCTCATTTTCACAATTTAGACCAAAATTGGTCAGAATATGTCAATTTTTATGATTTTTCTCATTTTCAAATGTGTGCAAATGGATTTTCAGGTGGGTGCAAGTCTATTTTCAAAATCTCAGGTGGGTGCTGCGCCCACTTGCTTTAATGCTGGGGAGATCACTGTTATGTAAGATTCAAGCTATATCTTGAAATATCATGAAACAGAAACACATCCAAATTGACATCTTGTTACCAAATCAGAATCACCAAATTTCAGGTTAGTAAGGGAGGGATTTTGATTTCTGATCCATCTCAAGTTATCCATTTAGAGTCTCCCTCTCTCTTCAATTCAACAGATCAGAATTTATTATCCTTAGATTAAACTGATGTAATTTTGGCTTCTACATTTACACATATTGTACTTGTTAACATTTTAAAACCTTTGAACTCTTTGATCAACAAGACTGCACTATAATACACTTAACTACCTGTATATAGAATATTAACTCGTGAATTTTATCACTAGTCTCACTTAAGACCCTGGAGCCCCCCCCCCCCCCCTACCCCTAATCTACTTCTCCATGTGTTGTGTTGGTGAAGTACATTGGGGGAGGGGGTTCAGTCTTAAAGCAAGACTATGGTATCAGTTGTCTGTATGATTGCTTCCCTCTACCGTAACACAAGAATATCTACCGTAACACAAGAATATGTTTAAATCTATAGAAATATATTAAATGAAGGTATTGTGACTGTGAGTTAAGATCGCGATTACATATCGCCTTCAAATCACTGCCTTCAACTGGTGATATATCATTACAGCTACCATTTTTTGTGACTGATGTTTTGCATTCAAATTTGGCATCAGCAGTCAGTATCTCTTAGATTTAATTTAATGTCAGTTGTTTCACCACCAGATAATGATAACAACCTCAGATAACATGAACAGATTTGATGGATCAGTTACATAGTTTTATGCATTACTGTCCTCTGGAAGGGAGATAGAGGTTTGATAAAGTAAAGTACTTGTCTACCACACCCATAGCCAGGGGGGGGGTTGCAGGGTTTGGGCGATCCCCCCCCCCCCTGGCCAAAAATTCTTTCAAAATCATGCAGTTTTTCACCATTTTGAGCACTTCTCAAGTGATTTTAGTCATATTTGGGCCAAAATTGTCTAATGTGAAGCCCCCCTGGAAATTTTTGAAAACTGAACCCCCCTTGGCAAATCCTGGCTTCGGGCCTGTCTACCCATGCAATGCGTTAATCATCTATTTACAAATTGCAGCAACCTATCCATTGGACATAACAAAGACAAGACTGCAAGCACAGGGGGAACATGATGGCTCTTCTAAAACACCCAAGCAAAAGATTGGCATGTTTAGAACGGCATTTGGAATAGGTAAGATTGTCAATCATGTCATATTATAATACATATATATATACTCCATGCTTTCCGGTTTAGGCTTATGTAATAAATAGAAATTAAAACTCCATCTTAAATCTGTCAACAAGGCCAATCCGAGCATCATATGACTAGTTCTTAAAACTGAGCTCTTGATTTCCAGCAAAAAATGAGGGTGTTTTCAAGCTATGGCAGGGACTGCCTCCAGCATTACTCAGGCAGATAGGTGAGACATGCGCAAATTATTCTTGAGTTTATATAACTGCATGTTATAATATTGATTTGGTTTTGTTCTTCTATGCTAATAATTTAGAATGTTTATGTTGTACCATACATGTTCTACTAAATGGTAAAGTGGATAAAAGGGCAAGGGAATACAAAAACTTGATACTATGCAAGACTAGTTATATTGTAAATTATTGCATGTTGTGTGTACCATACATGTGGTACCATAAATAAATGGTTTATACTGAACCATTTATGAAGTATCATATGTTGCAAACCATGCATGCTGTGCCATTCACCTTTACCATATTTTTATCATATGCATGAGGTATCATTTATTTTTACCATATAGTGTATGCCATGCATGCTGTACCATTCAGTTTTACCATATATGGTATGCTGTGCATACTGTACCATTCAATTTTACCATATATGGTATGCTATGCATGCTGTACCATTCAATTTTACCATAGTATCATACATATAGCACTATAAAAGTTGATGTTTGAGCTAACATATAATATATACTCAGTTGTTAAAGTAAGTCTTAGAGTAGATGTATCTTATGGTTTCTTGTAGTATACAGTGGTAGTCGCATGGTGTTCTACGAGGCTATTAGAGAGCATGGTCTGAAACGTAAAGAGGATGGCTCATTTCCACTGTGGTATTATGAATACTCTAACACTCTAACAGCACTTTTTAGCTTTTCTTATTTCAGAAGACTTCCTATATATAGCTATTATAGTTGTAACTTCTAGACCCCCATGCAGTACCCTAAGGAGTCTTTAATGTATGCCCTGTCCTTAAGAGTCCCCAGTCCTATCAAGTCCTCCAAATGGCCCTATGTATGTAGTGTCCTTGGAGCCCTATAAGGTGCCCTAAAGACCCCTGTACGTATGTGTTTCACCCAGAATTAAAGATAAAGGGGATTGCACACACTTGAAAACCTATATACACTCCTTTTAAAACCTTAAAACCTTTTTGCACCCCCTTAAAAATAAGGAAAGTCATGAAAGTCATTTGACCAGCTTTGGTTGAAATGATATGAAAATGAAAATTTTGCACTTGGAAGAAATTTAGGGAGAACAAGAGTAAGGGATGTTTACATTAACAATTTTTGCCTTAGATCGTAGCCTGGTATATAGATGGCTGTAGTGTGTTCATCATCTTGATTGCATCGGCATATTTTTCTAATGCCCATCAGGCTATCCATTTTACTATATGTAGTAGAAATTTTTTCCATATATTAATTTTTTCCAAACTCCAGTTGTGTTCAAATCTATTCTGCTTTCAGCTTAGTTTTTATGATAAAAACACCTTATGGGGGGGGGGGGGCGATTTTGATTTAAAGCATAATTTGTTTTTGGAATTTGCTCTATTGTACTTCAATATTTATGTATGAATAGATGTTCAACCGAAATGAAAATTGCTATATTCTATATTCTAGGAAAGCTGCAGTGGGAGGGGGTGTTGCGGGAGCATTGGGGCAGTTCCTAGCCAGTCCTACAGACTTAGTGAAGATTCAGATGCAAATGGAAGGAAGGAGGAGACTAGAAGGAAAACCACCAAGGTAGGTGTGGCTGTTGGACCTGTTATTCTCACCAGGTCATTGTCAATACATGTATCTGATTGGTCAGTTTTAGTCATGTGACTGCTTCGATTTGAGGCAATCATCCATTTGGACCTATTTAAGAACGATCATAAGAATTAAAATATTTTGAACAACTTATTTCTTAGTCACAATAGAGCAGATGAGAATTGTTCATCCAGTAAACAGATCATGGTTGATTAAGTAATTTTGTGTTTTTACTTGTATTTTGACTATACATCTCACATTCACATTGTAGAGTAAGAGGATCTTGGCATGCATTCACAAAGATCTTACATGAAGGAGGTATCAGAGGGTTATGGAAGGGATGGTCCCCCAATATACAAAGGGCATTCCTAATCAATGCAGCAGGTATATTTTTTTTATCATAACTTTATTTCCATAAATCAAATAATAATACATACATACATATGAGCGGCTTTGTATATTTAACATGGATGAGGTCAAACTTTGGTCAACCTCTTACAATGCTACCTTTTTATTCCTAAACCCTGACCCTTTAATGGTTTGGACATATGTCTTTTAGTAGATTTAAAGAGACAATTCTTACCAGCCTTTGCAATCTTGATATGGTTCCTTTAATCAATTATTATAGGAATTATTATAAATTATGAAAAATGGTTTTTGTTAGGTGAAATTGAGCATACTATATTTCAAAATGTATTGTTCATTTCAACTGGGTTACCTTATTAAAAGATACAGGTAGTGATGTCATGAACCATTAATTTACATATGATTTTAGAGGTGAAAAGCTTCACATACTAAACTTAGATCTACATTTCCCACCATTGTATAGAGCTATTGTTGTACAATTGTAGATCTGGCAACATATGATACATCTAAACAGCTTCTAGTGCAATATACACGTCTGACCTCAGACAACACATTCACTCATTTTATATCCAGGTAAGGCAGGGAATCATGTTTTCTACTCATATTGATTTTATTTTGTTGTGATTAAATGGTATTTCGGTAACTAAAAGGTGCAAATATCCGTTTTTACCTATATGTGGATGGCTTAGCAATTAAAGAATGTAGAATTAGGTGCAAATCTTTTGAGTAGTAGACCCAATTCATAGCTCATTGCATACTTAAACACAAGGTGAGCATTGGCTGTTCTGAACAACTCGCTGGAACAAAGTACTGATTTCTGAATGGGAGACTTTAACTACTGTTCAGTACTGATCACATAGTTTCAACATTGCTTAGAAAATCACACCGAACTTGAGCTTTTTACCAGTAGCTATTATGGATAGTTTTATGTATATGCATATTTACTCTTGGTTGTCTAGGCCAGTTCAGTGGATTTTGCACACGGTCCACTATTTTTCAATTACTTTTTTGGACAAGTAGACAGTTTTCATCAACAGACACCAGAGAAATGACAGTTTTTGGAATATACTTGATAGCAAATGATAAGAGTCAATCATTGAAATAGATTTCCTGAATGCTATTGTTTCAACCTTTTTGTAGTGCTCTCTCAGGTATCACTTCAGCCCTTGCTGCTGCTCCTTCAGATGTGCTGAAAACAAGAATTATGAACCAACCGACTGATAAAAATGGCAGGTATGTAGATATATTGCTTGTTATGTTTCTATCTGTTTCATGCTATTTTTTCATCATCTTGAAACACAATTTCCATCGCTCATATATCAAAAGGTGATTGGCCAATAGAAAGATGTCACTGTTGTTGTTTGTATTTTGACAACTAAGACAATTACTATACAGTACACTGTCAACTTGAGGGTCCAAGATATCAGCCGCCGGCCAATAAATATGTATATCAGAAATCTGTTTTCTCATAGATCAGTTACATTTTCATGGATCAGTTTCTGTTCCCCCAGTTTAGTCCAGGCCATTTGTTATATATGTGTCAGGGGTCAGTTTACTTTATCTTTCAGGGGCCTGTTGTATAAATCTTCTCTTGACTGCTTACTGAAGACAGTAAGAAATGAAGGTTTCCTGGCACTCTACAAAGGCTTCTTACCAAGTTATGCTAGATTGGTGAGTTGTAATATATACAGTAGTGCAAATAATTTTCAATCCTAGTTTTAGCCGTCGATCGGTGACTTTAAACATCACTTTTTTTCTTTAAATAAAATAATTCATTTAATGGATGTGCCTTGTTTTACATAATAAGTTGAAAATTACCATTGTATTTCTTCAGTCGTATGTAACACCTTGATAGATCAAAATGTGTATGAACTGTATATGTGTATGATTATAAAATTGGGAGGCCAATAATGTAACATTTACCTTGGCCTTTCTAGTGTGTAATATTAAGTGTAAACTCATTGCAAATAAATAAAACTTAACCTTAAAAAAATTAAGAAATTTTGACAGAACAGTTCATGATTCATGATCACTCAGGTCTGTAGTATGTTTCTAAAAAATAACTTAAAAGTAGTCCTAATTTTGAAATAGCTTTGATACAATGTCATGTTTGGTTTTGTTTAATAGAGATGAAAGAAAAAATAATTCATTGTAATCATTGTCATTTAGTTCAATCTGGGTGTGCTCATTACTATAGCATGAAAGATAAAATAATACATCACTGGTTTGTATTTCCTTATGATATACACTCATAAGGATTCAGTCTGTAATAAATGTGTACATTACTTGTATTTGTATATTATTTAATTATTTCAGGCACCTTGGTACCTGATATTCTGGACGACCTATGAAAAGGTACGCTACTTTGCTGGTGCGACTGCTTTTTAACTGATCGAATTAAATGAATGCACAAAAACTAGAACTACCACAAGAGATTCAATTAACATTGGCGAAAACTATTATACCGGAATGAGTGTGGATGCACCAGTAAGACTTTTACAGGACATTAAAATGGCGATCTAGGTGACATTGAGTCCATTTACATGATATTTTACAATATATGCAAACATTTCCAATTCTTCTGTACTACTCGTTTGAAACTTGTGTTCTAGCAAGGATCTATGATATATAAGAGATCAGGGGTCTACAGAAATATCTTAGTGCAATAGCCATCACAGAATAAGTCATGAATCAAGTCTGAAGTGTATTCATAATTTTACGACTTGGCCAGAGTTTCAAACTGCTGATAGTTGCTTTTTATAAATCTATACAATATAGATAGCCAAGTTTAGAGTTAAGTTTAAATTATGCCTGTTATTTTCGAACAAATCACTTTATTTTGCATATTTTATGTTTGAAATTCATTTATCATCTTCATATTTGTTCATTTGTTAACTGATTTTTATTACAGTGTTGTATACATTCTGAACAAAGTAATTTTCTATGCAATTTTGTATACACGATCTCACAGAAGCATCCCTTTATAGATTTTTCTTTATAGAAGTTTCTCAAATAAAGATAAAAATGTTCATAAACTTCCATTTGTGGATAGAGTGTTCAATGTGTTAAACAGAGCTATAAACATGTACAATACATATCAAGGACTGCATTGAATTGTTCAAAAACTTTCTAAAACATAATTTTCTAATTTTTGCTTACATTTGTCAAATGTCTACCCTTTCCTCTACACATTTATAGATGGAGGATTGATTTTTGGAATTGTCTTGTATGAAAGTGTAGAACTGATTATAGTATACATAAGATTACATATGTTCTAGTATAAGTCATTTATCATCACTACAAAATAACCCAAATTCTAAATTCTAAATTTTCATTAGCATTTGATTATGCAGTATATGGTTTTAGACATTGCATTTTAAATGTTTACAAAGCAATGTATAAATGTGATTTTTGATGAATGATTATGAAAACAAGGTTTTCATGGAGAAATATTTTAACGCAACTTGAATGAGAAATACTTAAACATGGAAACAGGCCCGTAGCAAGGATTTGCCAAGGGGGGGTCCAGGGGGGCTCACTCAAACACATTGAACCCCCCCTGGCTATGGGCCTGTGGAAATATAAACATAAGAATATGGTATATATATTTCAATGCATTTATAACATGATTGAATGTCTCATTTACAAAATAGATTTATATTCTGAAGAAAAAGCCAGTGAAGTCGTTATAAGGTCATCCCATTTCAAAAATGATTCATTAAAAATTTATTAGAGATATTATTATGATATTAGTATAAAGTTTGTTTACAATATGAGTGTGAAATATAATGTACTATGAATAAAAGTGAAGAGAAGATGGACATATTCATTTTTAGGAATATATGAATTTGAGTGATATGAATTTAGAAATAGTCAAAGAACATTGTAACGTGTGCAAAAGTATATAAAACCGTGTGCAAAATATACTAAACCAATAGAATTAGATTGAGTCTCCCAAATGACCTCAAAATTATAATTACAATCATATGTAGTGGTCTATGCCACAGTAGTGTAATACATTGATCTAATTATATATAATATCAATATAATAGACTATTCTGTTTACCTGTCACAGGCGTGGTAAGGTCAAAATTTACTTTTAAACAAAAAGTTGGTGACAGACATATACATTCTATTGAATATTGAAAAAGGAAAGGTTCAAAATGCCCAAGTGTCCAAAATGCAATAAAGAGGTGTACTTTGGTAAGTGAAATACAGTATTTCATTATTTTATCATCTTTTGAATTAAATGTAATTGATGTTTATAAAAATTAATTTAATTACAAAATGTAATGCATAACCATAACAGGAATAAAAAAAACAAAAACATGAATGAAGATGAACATGTACGTTTTGAATTTTATGTATTTTTTGTAAAAGCACCCTGTATTGGCTTGCCACTTTTTTTAAAAGAGTAATAAATTAACAAGATAATCATTCTCAACTTAATACAGTTTCATCTCATATTTGTAGTTTACACATGCAACTGTTTGCGCTTTTTGGGGAATATTACATCGGTCCATTAACTTAAAAATACATTTTAAAGTTGCTCTACAATATAAGGTTGGGTTATGTAACTTAGTTATTATGTAATATTATAAATAATTGTTTATAATTATTACACTAAACATACCCAGCTGTCATTGGCACTGTGACCCACCATATTACTTAATATATACTTCTTTCAACTTATTGCTATATTACTTTAAAGTGGCATTATAACATTATAAGTTCAGTATGTTCCAATATGTATTTCTTGTTTTTATAATGTCAAGAATATATCATATTGCATGATTAGCATCTCATAACCATATCAATGCCTCATGATCAATTTATTCTAATAACATATGAGATAGTGAAGAGCTAGTAATTTAATAATTGCACCACCTTGCTAATTCATTATTCTGGTGGCCTAATGATCTTTTGTACCATACAGTCATGTACATGATAACATTAAACTCTTGGATGTTTTGTAAGGTTGTAATAATATAATTCTTAAATAGTTTAGATGTCAACATTTACTGTTATGAATTGGTTCTAAGAGTAGATCATCTATAGTTTTATCAGATAACATCAGAGACAGTCATGTCTAAAATCTCCAATAATTTGCATAAGAGCGAAATATAATTGAGTCTTACAACCTTGGTCAACATCTTTAACCATCACCTTGACAACCATGACAACCACTTCAGAAAAATGTAGCTAAAGTAAGCCTATATGTACATTGAATCAACTTAAAGTGTATGATAAGGTATAGCTAGGATTAAGAAAAAGTAAACAGTAAAGGTAGGGTAAACACACACTTATGAAAAAGTTGAATTACAGATTTTGAGGACATAGTGTCAAGAATATATAGTCATCATTTCATTTTCTTTATGACTCTTACATCTTCTATCTCTTCTATGTGACAAAATACAAGAATGCAAGAATAAAAAATTGGGATCAAATCATGACATCCGATCCAAAATACAAACGCATATGAACTCATATAATCAATCAATCAATAGAAATATATTATAACATTTATTCATTATCATTCTCGTACAAACATCTTCATTTTAAAATGTCAGCTCAACACCATAGCCTTAAAATCAAGAAGACTCACAATTACCCCACAATTACATTTAGATATGTATATGTGATAAGATGAGATGGCATAGAAGCTACATTCAAAACATCAAGATAATTCACACATTTGCAAACTCCTAGAAATGCTAAATGAAAAACAAATGAAAAAGTAAATCACTCACATACAGGGTAACCTCAAGTGCAGATCTTTAAAAATGTATTTTTGAACGATTTGTAAAGAAAGCATGTTTCAAGATTGAAAAATGAATTTACCTTATTATCCCAAATTAGAGTCCTGTAATATAAGTATATCACTTTTTCACTCCTTGGAAGACCCAAGAAAATTCAAGCATAAATTTGAAAGTTCTTTTGCATCACCCTATAGGTATGAATCATCCTTGTATTGTGTAGGTTGGTGTATTGAACGAGATCAAACATCAGAATAATTTAAATATATAATCAAAACATGTCAAAATATTTTTTTAGAACCTTGTAATTACACTTGAATAGAAAATGTGTACGCCCTTATCAGTTATACCAGTATATCATGTGCTTTGCCCTTTGCATTATATGGTGTTTAGGGTCAAGTCAACTTGAGTAGAAATAAGATTTCCCCTCCCACATTTTATCACTCACTTAAGTTTAAGTTCGCAATATTTATGTTTTGTGAAAAGTGTTGTTAAAATGTCCCTGGGAGTTGTTCTATGTAGCCCTTTGATCTTAATACTTAAGATTGATAAGTACATGCGCATAAACACTATATATCAATAAAAATGTGAACTATATGAACATTCGATTAATTATTGCATTTAGGGACAAGTCCATGGTCAGATGTTAAGAAGGTACTTGATTGATATGGTCTTCAATGCAAGTCCCAAGTTAGAATAATATTATTGAACTTTTTGTTCAGTAAGCAATGATGCATCTTGATTCAACTTGTAAAACCGCTTTGGAAGTCAATAAGATGCAAGTGTATTTATTAGTTTTAAAGGTCCAAAACTATACATGTACATATATATGTGCTTAAATTAAACCATAGACTTTGAAGCACAAGAATCAAAAGAGAAAAAACCAAGAAATGTTAAAACACAGTTGGAATATGAACAACCACCGTATAATGTAGATAACATAACATCCTAAATAACAACAAACAAAGCCCTGAAGCTCACATTTCTATTGACTGCGTAAAGTGCCGTGGAATGTACCATATGGTCATAAAACCTCACTTTTTCACCCTTCACACCATTTTGACTTCACGAACACTTTGGATTATAAATTATAGGTTCTTTGGTCTGTCCAGATCCCAATGTGAGTTTGTAGTCAAATGCCACATTATCTGCTTGTAAGTAGCCTAGATTGGAGATCTCTCCATAGGTCAACTTGATTACGTCCTCAAAATCCACTACAAGCCTGTGAAGCTTCATGTAGATTTGAAATAACTAAGCACCAAAACTACACAAGGCATAAACATGCAAAATGTCACCACCTGCCATTTGTTACAAACCACAAGCACCGACTGCTGGACACAGCCGATAAAAAAAATTGGTCACTTTAACAATATGCCCCAACTTGTGGTAGTATTTTGATCAACTATAGGGCAATATGGCTAGCAAATGGAGATCGGGGTAGATTTGAACATGTATTATTCATCCCTTTAGAATCATAGATGATTTATTCAAGTATGTACATAGTAATCTATATGAAAACATTGAAAACAGCTATACGTGCTGAAATAGTAGGTAGAATTAGTAGATTGGTTGCAACCTGTGATCTATTTCACTATAGTTTGTATTAACTTTAATAGGAGATAAAACTTTAAAGATTACAATGTTATTTAGCCAAACAAACTAAAACTAATTTTAAAAAGATGGTTGTCAAAAATATATTCTGTTTGTATTATTTTATGGAGCTATCCCAGCTATCTTATATTTCTTTATACCCTTCACCTCAAAAACTGACTAAAATTGACACTCTCTACTGATTTATGATTTATAGTTGTATTTAGTGCCCTGGGCAAACATATGAGAATTACCAAAAATTCGGACTCATCTTCTCTCTCTATGAGTCATTTTATTTTTAAAGTTTCAGAATTCTCAATATACATTTTGAATTAGCTATACATTCTCAAATGGTTGTCCCGGATACTATGTTCATGTGTACTACTATGTGATATTTTATCTCTTTTTGATGTGCAATAAAACCTTAATACAATTTGTCATTTACACTTGAACTTGATCATTAAATCATTCAGATGTGGAGAAAGTCAATGTGACCAACATTAACATGTAAAATAAAATATTTTCTTTACTTTTTTAGTAAGCGTTTATGAAATTCAAAATTTATTTTGACACACATTCAGCTCTACCATGCACCATTTTGGTTTAGAGTATCTTTTTATTTGTGTAACCAAGGTACTTATATGAGAGTAAAAACATAAAGCACACTCTTGGTTTATATAGTTCACAGCATAATTCCCCAAGTATTTGCATAATGTTGAATTTTGCTTTGTGTTTTCCTGTTGTTACTTTGTATTTTCTTGTTTTTGCCTTTCTGTTTTCAAAAAGTGGTGACATAACTTTTGTGACGGATGTTGGTGTTCGGAGTTAGGGGGCTGTAAAAAATAGCCGGTGGTGACATTTTGCGTGTTAATGCCTATAGTGTTTTCCTGTGGTTGCCTTTGTGCTTTCTTGTTCTTGCTTTCTGTTTTTCTGATGCTTTTGTCTTCTGCTCTTGCTTTTGTGTTCTCCAAACCTTGGCTTCATTTTTCTAAATGAACAATTAACATTTTAATTATCAGATCATAACACTTTTTTAAAATGCAATAATTTTGTT